TGGTAGGTACGTACTACTAAATAAATAATAATATATATATATATATATATATATATATATATATATATATATATATATATACTACAAAACGTATATAGACGAAAATGAACAGTGATTTTGCCTACCTTCATCACCATCCAAACTTCATCGCATGGTCACATTGTCCAGTAATATTTCAATTTTTATTATTTTTACTAATCGGAATGATCTGAAATTGGAGCGTGTGTACATATTAGTGAGACGCGTATAATAAAAATAAAAAAAATAATAATTCGTAAAATATAAATTGATCAAAATACTCAAAAAATTTATGAAGTTATTTTGATCAATTTATATGACGAATTAATTTTTTCATATTTTTTTTAGGTGTGCCTCATTAAGATGTGTACACACTCCAAATTTCAAGTAAATTAGATTTGTAGAAAAAAATGAAAAATGAAATACTACCGGAGAACTGTGACCGTGCGATGAAGTTTGGATGATGATGAGAGTTCATTTTCGCCTATAGCGGTTGAGAAGAGTTTTTCGGTATAATTTTGGTATAAATTTTTTTTAGAATTATCTAAAAATTTATTTTCATATCTAATTATAAAATTTAAACTTAAAAAATAGTTAAAATCAAATACATCTATATACATATGAAAATCTAGAAAATGGTCAGTCTAGATAATGTGTTGCAAGATGCACTATTTCTAGGACTCAAAATCTTTTTTTTTTTAATATTCATATATCGATCAATTAGAGGGTCCTTTAATAGTAAAGCAACATTTTCCGATGGATTTTTGATGTGCATATGTACTTCTACATTTTAAGGTTGCAACCTTATATAAACTTTATCCTTAATAAATCTATTTTTAAGATGGATTTTCTGATTTAATTTTTAAGGATATGTAATCTGGAACATAGAGATTATGAATATGAAAAAATAAGTAAATTTAAAAAACTATAAATAATAATTATAGAAAGAAAACATTTCGACTGTTTGTTTCCATTATTTTTAGATGGAACACCTACCTACATCCATCGTTAAGATGGATGCTTTAAACTTTTTGGACCGTATATGCAATCATGCGGTCCAGCCCACATGAAACAATTTTTCAAATATAAATTTTATTTGCCTCGAGCTAGACTCCGTCCAATCAATCGATAACAACGAGCCGGTAACAATGCCAACAATCACATTACTTTGTGCCGTTGTTTTCAATTCACTATCAACCGTCCAATCAATATCATTCATCCAATCCATGACACAAGCCTAAAAGGTAACCCTATAAATCTCACACTTTTGTATCCGGCAATGTTAAAGAAAGGGTACGGTAAATGTAAGGGAGCAACCTTACATGTGGAAATAAGATTGTGATATTCTACATCATCCATAGTCAGATAGTGATTCATTTTTTAAGATGGCCACAAAATTTAGCACATGTTTTAAGATAATACAAAGGGTGTGTATAGAGCCTAGGCTCTAAACAATCAAATTAGAGCATCAAATAGTATCGAGAAATGTGGTTTCAATATTGAAAATCTTTGTGATAGTTAGAAAATATATTTCCATATTTACTTATAAAGTTTCAAGCTTCAAAAATAGCGTAGATCGACATATCTATGAAAACTTGAAAATCTTGAAAATTGACGGTCAAAAAATGAGTTACAAAATACACTATTTTCAAAACTTGCAATTCATTTTTTTCTTATGTTCATGCATCTTGATGTCGAGATGATCAATTTGAAGATATTTGGACATCAAAACAATCTCTTCTAGTGAAATTTTTGAAGTAGGCTCAAATTTGATTGTTTAGAGCCGGGGCTATGTATAAACGTTTCCCTAATATAAAACCTAGACTACACAATTAAAAGAGGGGTGCGGTTTGCACAGAGCCAAGGCTCTAAATAATCAACATAGAGCCCCACCTTTAAATAGTGTCGAGAATTGTAGTTTCAACATGAAAATATTTGTGATAACATTAAAATATATTTTCATCTCTAATTATAAAATTTAAAGTTTTAAAAACAATGCATATCAAGCTGATCTATGAAAACTTGCAGTAAAAAAATGCATTATAAGATCACTATTTTCAAAACTTGAAATCCATTTTTTTCTCATGTCCATTCATCTTGATGTCGAGATGATCGATTTGAAGATATTTGGACATCAAAATGCCTCTTATAGTGAATTTTTTAAGGTAGGCTCTAATTTGATTGTTTAGTGCCTTGGCTCTATATAAACTTTTTCCTTAAAAGAGATGGTTTAGATTACTTAAACCTCACTTTGCCGCTTTATTTACACTGTTTTGAAGACCGTGATAAGTTGCGCCGAAGCCCATATTTTTCAAGCCGTTTCATAAAGAGTGATTTGATTCTCACATGCCTTATCTATTGACCTTGAAAAGAAAGAAGGCATCGTGATAAGTTGCACCCAAGCCCATCTTTATTTCAAGCCGTCTCACATGCCTTATCTATCGACCTTGAAAAGAAAGAAGTTCATCAAGGATGGCCGCTGGTTCCTTCTCTCTTTGAGATGGGTTAAGCTCAACTTTGATGGCAGTACTAAAGAGAATGGACAAGTTACTAGCTATGAGGGCCTGCTAAATAATTCTTCGGGGGTTACAAATTGGTCCTACAGGGTAGTTTGCATCCATGTTCGGCAGGTGGTAGTTTGCATCCATGTTCGACGGGTTAAGCTCAACTTTGATGGCACTATGAAAGAGCATGGACAAGTTACTAGCTAGGAGGGCCTGCTAAAGAATTCTTCGGGGGTTACAAATTTGTCCTACCAGGGTAGTTTGCATCCATGTTCCCCTAATGAAGCAGAGTTTTGGGCCCTCAATAAAAATCCCGTAACTTGTTTAACAAAATATAGTACCTTCCATCATCTCAATGGGCCCATTCAATATTTTTGATAAAATTAAATGATCAAAATACCTTTGAAATTTTAGAGGCATTTTGATCATTTTATTTTATTGATAATATTTTTTTTTTTTACAATCATAAGTTTAATAAAGGAGTGGACATTCAAAATTTGATGTCCAAATGTTTTGTAGAAAAAAATTAAAAATAAAATAGTGTAGAGATGTGACATTGTAATTGGAACCATCTTAGCCATCCATTCGAATGAAGTATATATGTTTTACACATTAGGAAAAATATAAAAAGCTTGTCTGCATATTCTTTCTGGATCCTTCTTAAGTGTCCAATGAGAGAAGAACGAAAAAGACCAGAATCCCAAGGTAACTTTGGTTATCCATCTCGAACGAATCAATAGAGCAAGTGCCCAGGACTCTCTACCCTAGACTGAAGTTCACAAGATTTTTTCAAAAGATGGAAAATTCAGCAGAAATTTCAAATTTTCATGTATGTGAGAAAGAGAGAGAGAGAGCCCAGTTCATGTTACATTCAAGTACTGTCCTTTTGTTCAGTTCGCAAAGCTCAAAAAGCCTACCAAATTTTAGCCCCTTTAAGTCACATGCTCTGTTAATTAGAAGGTTTCATATTGCTACAACAGCCTTGCATTTCAAAGAAAACAAGCAAAATACCTCTAACCCAAAATGACTAAATTGTGAGGTGAACAATTTCATGCAGTAGCTTCTCATCAAAGAAAAACCTTAGATAAATGCATCAATAACACACAAGGCACAAAAATTCAAAAACATTTCCACAGAGGAGAAAGGAAGAACAGAAAGCAAGTGCAGCAATATTAGTGGTCATTCGGATTACAAAATTCATAAATATCAATAGGAAAAAAAAAGCAACAATGGTCAAGCATCGCCTCTTAAATAAACCAAGTATCTCTTTAAGTCCCTTTTCCAAGTTAAAGCAGGAGACTCTCTATGTACACAACCCAAAATCGATTGATATTGATTTCCATTTCCTCTTGTCACTCATTAGATATGTAATTCTTGATGATCCACTTTGCCTCTCCTCTAATTTAATCCTCTGGTGAATAGATATTGGCCTTGAAACTCTGGTTGAATAAGATCTAGAGATGGCCCAAAAGAAACAGCTAAAAAATGGCTTAAAAAACTACCCAAATCTTCTGCTCTCAAAACTCAAGCTTTTTGCATAAGGATTTCCGAATTATACGCCTCCTGAATTGCCTTCTAGGCTTCATTGGAGCAGGAGGACATGTTTCATTTGAGGCATCCGAGAGTATGCTTGGAGTGGGGGATCCCGAGTTCTTAGTGAGCTCCAAGTCCTCAACTTGCTTCGAAACAATAGCATCCAAAAGAGATTTGTATATAGACTCCAACAAATTCTCCTCATTAGAACACCCTTCTTCGAATTCTCTTACATGGGTACCCAAATTCTCTTCGTTCAAAGCCTCATAACCACCATTTAGGTGATCCTCTTCAGAAAATTCATCGAAATTCAACACACGGGCAACACCAGGTTTCGACTCTCTGATATTGGAACCTTCTAGAAACTTTGATACAGGCTTGGAATTTTCTTCTGGAAACTTTAAAGCATGATTGGGACCATCTAGAAAGCCGGAATCAGGATCAGGACCTTCTACAAGCAATTGTTTTTGTTTCTTGGAAAATTTCCTGGGTGCCAAGGCAAGTTCTTCGGGACCGGGGGCAAAAGAATCGAATCTATGATGGAGGGGAGTCTTATTACCAGGCCAGCTGCTAGAGAGACAAGGCGAAGAAGATGCGGAGCCTAATTCCAAGGAACCCCAAGCTAAGGGAGTCTGGTTTCGAATTAAAGGTTCACCATAATCTTTACCAGGGTCTGGAGTAATTGGTGCTAAGGGCCTTGATTGTCTATCAGAAACCACATCATCTTTGTTATCCAAAAGTTTAGTTATTTTTTGACCAGGGTCTAAAGGTGTAACACGTGAAGATGCAAATACTTGGTCCTCTCTTTTTGGCATTGTGGTTTCAGGTTCCATTAGAGGAATCAAGGAAAACAAGAAGAAAGGAGAAACAATTGATCCTATTCCTTATAGTTTGTAACCTAAAAATGAAAAGAACCGACCCCCTGAACAAGAATAAAACCTTCTTTTCGGGGACATGAAAGACCTCAAATAATTTAAGAAGGGACTAAATAGTGATCCTAATAAAGAAATCCTCCTTGTTTTTATGTATGCAACTGTATTTTACAAAATTGTGACACAACCTTTTCAATGATGACTGCAAATATAAACCAGATTTTTAGTTCGTTCTTATAAAACTTCAGTCCAAATATGAGTCTACGAGAAAATCCCAAACAAATAAGATGAAAAAAAAAGTACCCTTGAAACCAGACCAAGGAAACCAAAGTTTTCAGGGAAAACTGGAAGGCAAATTGAGGAAAGAATTGTGCAAAGGAACCCTAATGATTGAAAGGATAAGCATATAGAAATAGGAAAGCAGAAACCCTAACTTCTCAGAGAAACGCTAATATAACCAGAAAGAAGATAGAGAAACCCAAAACCCAAAACCCAATTCTCTAAGATAACTATTAAAGTTCTACCCTGTTTAAGAAAAACCCTAAAATTCTGGAATACTTTGTGTTATAACCCAGCTATTTTTGCTAATTCCGTTTAGATTTCCTTCTTGCTATTGAACGAAGAAAATACAGCTTTAAAACTAATATATATCTTTCCACTAAACTTATAGAGACAAAATCAACATATATCTGCACCCCTTTATCAGGAAAAATCTAAACCCTCGACAGCAATAGGAGATCAAAAGATAGTTTATATAAAAAAAAAGCCTAAAACCACAGAAAAACCCTAAATATAGGACGAAAGAAAATCGTTGCAGATAAAACCTAAAACGCAGTAAGAAAAACCAAAAACCGACTCTTAAAATACGAACCCGTATTCTCCCTAATCACATAACTATATGAAATACAGGTACCCAAAATTTTCAAAATCAAACCCTAAAACATACCAAAAAAATCGATCCAAAAAACAAAATAAAAAAACCAAAACCCACCTTCAAAAGACGATTCCTCTCCTCCTTAATCCAGACGATTTCTTCCTCTCCTAATCAAACAAAAAATAAAAATACATATCTCAAACAAACACCCATTATATGGAAAGAAATCACTAAAGAACTCTGTCAAAAACTCAAATCGAAAGATTGCATACAAATAAATGGCACAAATATGAATTATCTTTGCCTCTTAGCGGAAGAAACCCTAAAACCCTAAAACTAGAACAAAAAAAGACGAACCTCGCAAAAACACCGCTTTCTCAGTAAAACATAGGATTTTAGAGAGAGAAAATTCGTCCATACGATTTTAGAGAGAGAGAATTGAGAGTTAAAACGTAGAAATACGGAGCCTTATAAGGCAAAAGTTCTAACGGCTACTATTTTATTGCGTATTGAAATATATTACATCGTATACACATACGGTGTATAGTATATTTGTACGGTTTCTTTGGCGTTGCTCCCCTAGGGTTTCATGCAAGTCGAGGGGCCAACAAGAAATGACGGAAGAGTCCCTAGAAACTAATGGAAATTACGGAAGTAGCCAACTTCACAACCATTTTTTTAGTTGGCCAAGGGTCAAAAACGAATTTTGTTTTTTATTTTCAGTTTTTAAATTAAAAATAGTATTAATGTAAAAATTGGGTTTTAATTTCATATTTATAATTAGAATTGTGTGAAAATAATAATAAAAATTTAAAATACAAAAATTTATCAAAATAGATTTAGGGCTATTTTAGATAATTATTATTTAATTATATTTTTAAAAATGAACCTACATCCACAATTTTAGAAAAACATCTTATTTAAATAAAAAATAAAATACTAAAATACTAAAATTAAGTTTTGGCCATTAAATATATGGCCTTGTGAAAAGGATGCTTGTGCAACTATCCATCCATCCATATCATTGAAGTAACGTGCACCTAAGAAAACCTTTATAATTTGATCATCTTAACCTCAATATATATGAATGCCAAGAACAAAAAATATCTAAGTCTTCAAAATAATATACCTTAGGACAAATTATCGTGACATTATATTTCTAATATTTTCAAGTATTTATAGATCTGCTCAATATGTACTATTTTTTAATTTAAAATTATATAATTGAGAACAGAAAAAATATTTTCAAACCATCATAAAGTTTATAGCATCTCCAGACAACATTTAGATATGCCCTTTCCTTCAACAAGAGGACCCCATATACAAACCTCACCCTTTGCACAATGTCATAAATTACCCACCTTACATGAGACTTTGTCGATATACTTTTGTGAAGGAATTGTACAAAATAAAATCATTTAACTTTCTTACAAGATCGCACTTGAAATTAGGATCGTATGTGAAATTAAGAAGTTGGAGCAGTATTTTAAAACTCAACGATCTGGATTCTCGATCTAAATGGAAATCGGTTGAGACCAATCCCGTTCAGGGATAATATTGGTCATAGTTCGGTCCCCTTTTAAAATCAGATATTTAAGCTCATCTGATGTTTTCTTAAGTCCTATCAAAATCTCAACCCCATAAATCTTTAGTTTAAAATTTATTTTCATATTTCATTTGTTTTTTTAATAGATTTATAGACTATCGATTCAAACCAATCCAAACCTCCAAATCACCAATCCAATAATCCAACACGAATCTATGAACAATCCTCCCCACCTATTTGGATTTATAAACATTGAACTAGAGTGTTGTACTTCTCCATGAAAAGTCCAAGGAAAACTTCATTAACGTTGTTCAATATCTAGTTTGACAAGGTTTTGAGTGTGCTTACATGCCATGGCGATGGACAATTGTGACCCTTTTACACCGAGTAAGTGGTCTTGTATTGTCAAAGTATTTTATTCGTGGATTTTGTTAGGCTACAACACTTTGGTGTAGATCTTTAAAGTGCTCAATATTTTTGAACACTAAAAGACCTTTGAGTTGTAATACAAATTTTTTTTAAGTAGTAGCATTTTTGGTCATTTAAAAGGGTAAAATGGTTATTTTATAAAAAAAATAGTGGTATTTTATCAGCAGTTAAAAACAATTAATGCATCTTGTGGGTGATGTCACACACCATATCGCTAATATCATTGTTCACTATTGTTAATAAATGTTTTTGTTTCCATTATGAATTTCTAATTTGCCATTGACTAATTACTTAAAATACCCCTAAACAAAAAATTACTATACTATAGGATAATTATATCTAAATATCTAAAAATATTGAGCACTTTAAAGGGTTAAAAAATTACATGTTTTGTGTGCTTTGTTAATCTAGGGATTGTATACTATGAGGCCATTTATTTGTTACAAGGTAGTCGCCATTGCTACTAGCCATTAAATGTCAAATTAAATGGTTTGACGTGTGACACAAAGTTTGAGTTTTTATCTATTAAATGTCAAATTTTTGATGGTTTGACGTGTTCCACAAAGTTTGAATTTTTTCCCTTGAACTTTGAGCCTAGTCATGATTCACCCATGACCACCTGATTTGAATTCGGACAAGTTAGAGTGATTATGACTTTATTTTATTATAAGTAAATGGTCTCTTTGTATATTTTTTCCTTAATTTATTATTTAAATATTAAAATTTTTTTATATAGGCATTGTTTTTTGGATCAAGTTCCTAACACAAAAATGAATATGGTAATTTGTTTCATGTCCTAAATCCTTGGTAGACCAAGACAAATGAGTTGGTTGAATTACTAAAGACTCATCCTTTTTATAATGTTCTTAAGCATGTATAGATATCAAAGTCCCCTATCCCAAAACACTAATAAAAGAAATTTAGATATCAATATACAGATTTGAAAATTTTGGACTCTTGGTTTTCCAACGTAAGTTGGCTATTCTTTTTTTTTTTTTGGGCTAAACAATAGAACTCAAACTTAAGATGCAGCATTGTTCGACATCAACAGTTAACTACTCAAACACAAGCTTAATTCTTAGTTGAGTAGTCAATTTTCTAATTGGAAAAGTATACAATAAAACCATTTGCATTGCATTAATGAAGTCATAATCAACATTGGCAGTTGTATGTAAATCTTGGTAGTTGGGGTTGTGCATTGACTGTGCTTAGATGAAGTTTTTATAGGGCCTGGATTTTATGAAACAAAATAAAGCCTCACTTCAAATCCTCATCCAAAAAACACTTTTGGGATCGAAAATCTTATGATGGATCTAAAATTAACTTTCAACATCGACAATACATTTTGAAACTAAAAAAATAGTACAAATCTTGTGGATATGTGAACACTTATTTTTAGGGCAAAATGGATGGTCAAAATGACTTGTTGCAATATTACACTATTTTTAGCTTTTGAAATCCTTTTTTTTTCACATCCATAATGTTCAAGCTGAGATGATCGATTTAAAGGTTTTTCAACACTTGAATTGCAATTTTTTATGGTTTATGAGGTAAGGCTTTATTTATTTTGATAAGGTTGAAGCTGTATCAAACCATTTTTCAAATTAAAAAAGTAATAAAAAAAGTGAACCTATAGGAACATTCAAGATTGTCAAATTTTATAGTTGGTGACTATAAATAATTGTGACTCCACTATATCAAAGGTAAATAATTTTATACAATACAATCCCTTAGCAATTTCCCAAAAAAAGAAGTCTTAGCAACCCACTTGGGTCATCTAAGTGGTCCTGGCCACTTGTTTAATAAGTATATCTTAGACTTTCTTTTTTCATCAAAGAGAATAGTGCAGCAAGTTGTTAAACTGAAAAGGAAAGAGGATAAATGTCAAGAAAGATGGCTCCACCTCCATAAAAGGAGTCACAACTTGAGAAACAAACAAAGAAAACAAAAATCAATACAGTTCTATTAAAAAACTCACTAATGGCCACTTGAGGCTCTGTTTCTCAAATGCCCACACTGCATAAATGAATATTTTGGTTGGTGAATTCAATTCCAACCAATGTTTTAAAACTCAGATCGGTAGGTTGGATCAATCACACTACAAATCCTAGTCGAATCGTTGGATTAGCAATTTGAATTGGTCTGAATCGATAATATATAACATATTAAAAATAAAAATTGAAATAGGGTTTCATAAGGTAGAAATTTAGGGTAATAAAACAAAACATCGGATAAGATTACATTAGAAAAATAGAAAAAAAAATTGAAATGGTGGGTTTTAGGGTGGGAACCAGTCCAAGATCGATACCATCCCTGAACGAGTTCAGTCCTAGCCAGTTCCCCATCCAGGTTGGTGATCCGAATCGGGAATCGCCAGGTTTTATAGCAGATTCAAACATAATTGGAAAAGTGATTCTTTAGATAAGAAAGATAAAACCTGTATTTATTTGATATTGAGTCCTCATACGCTCCATTTCATTCCAAATTTCATTTCACTATGTTGGTTTCTAATCGATGCATTCCTAAATGGAGTAATTTTTCATCCTTTTCTATTTCCATTACTTTAGATACTTGGGAAACATGAGGACTTCGCATTGCTCATGCAATGGAACACTCCCTGGTAACCAGGGCTGTAAACGGTCAGGTCCAGGTCGAACTAATCTGGACCCGACCCCATTGCCATACTCAACGATATAAAGAGATACGACAGGTCGACTCCGACCATGACCTAACTATGGTCCAAGAAAGATCCAAAACCCGCATTGACTTGTACGGTTTACGATCCAGACTCAAATCTTGGATAGGTGGATTGGGCTAGATGCTTACCACCCTTATCCCTCTTGTATTTGAAAGAAAAAGTTGAACCAGCCTAGTTTGGTTAACGAGATATTAAGGTTTTGAACCCTTGACCTCCCTTGCTCAGACCGGAATGTCCACCCGATGAAGCCTAGAAATGTACTCATTTGAAAATACCAACATTCGGAACCTCATCATCATCACTCGAGCTTTATCCTAATTATTTAAGGCTTGAACTTTATCCTAACTATTTAAAGTTCTATAAACATGATTATTAAACAATTTAGCGCAAACTTCATTGCCTTGCATTACTTATCCAACATTCCATCAAGTTTGCTTGTCTTGAATCTAATAATCACAATTTGAAAAGTTAGTATTATTCTTTCTCTAGGTAAAAAAAGAAATATATAAAGTGAGACCATTTACTTTTGATATAAGGAGGTCACAATTATTGTTGACAACTTGATTTAAAATGGGGTGGTGGTTAAGGATGCATCATTGTGGGCGCAAGCCTAAAGCCAAATTTCTCAAATGTTGTGACACACTTTCATCTATTGGATTTCACATTCAATGGCTAAAAATGATTGCGACCTCCTTATACTAAAAATAAATGGTCTCATAATATATAATCCCCACAAAAAATGCATGTATTGCAAGACATATTCACTTCCCTTGACCATCTCTACACACTAAATGTCAACCTTTTTCTTCTCATCTCATTTTTTATTTTATTTTTCTAGATATCCCAAGGCGTACATGCAAAGACCCATGAATCTCGTCCATGAGTTGTTATGATGATTGAATCTCATTGGTTCAAAATCAATGTTCATTTGTTTCTTTCCCTCAACCAGTCTAGGTCCAAGTCTGGATCCTAACTTTGGACCCCGATTAGGGGGCTTAGGTCCTAGTCCAGTCTAGACGTATTAACTCGCCCTAGATAATACGTAAAGGGATATGCCTATTAGTTTTTTTTCTACAATAAATGCTTAACGGTTTAAATTGAATCTGGATCAATCGGATGCACTGTATTTTAGACTTTTATTTATTTTTTTATTTTTAAAATTAGATCGACACTAAAATTGGACATATAATTGATTTTATCTAGTTCTATCCAAACAAAATATTAAATAAATATTTTTACAAGTGAAAAATGACCAAATTTACCTTGCCTTTTTTCCATGGGCAGTTAATCAGTTTTTAGGATTCAAAATATTTTTTAAATATTTTATTTGGATGCGCCATTTTGAAATTAGGGTAAGGGAAAATTATGCTCGTACTGTTTTATTTGACGACCGTTGTTAGATGACAGTAAAAAAAATATGTGATATTTATACGGAGGTCCTTGTCCTCCTAATTTTTTTTTTTTTTTTAAGTTTGCCCCAAGTTTGTTATATATAATATTGGACCACATATTATTGTTATTTGATTATATGATATTTATAAGTCAGTTGAGTGTCAAAAACATCGAATGCCAATTTTTTAGGGCAGTTCGATGTTCAAAAAATCAGACTGGCCTACACTACACTCTCTAATCGGTCCGTTGTCCAAAACATCCGACCACCTTAAACCTCCAAAAAGTGCGCTATAAATGTCGGTCCCGTATTAGAAACATGAGACTGCGTATCATGGTATGTATCTCGTTGATGTCCATTAACGTGGTTCCCTTAACATGTATTAAGACCAATTAAGCTTGTACATTGTATTAGTACTTGGTAACATCGATCCCAAACCATGCACCAATTAAAAAAAATAATGTGGTCCGATGTTAGACCTTATTTTATGAAGATTTAAGGCAGCTCGATGTTTCGAACATTGAATTGACTAAAAAGTGTAGGGTGGTCGCAGTTCGATAGTTTTAACATTAAACCGATCTATAAATATAAACAAAATTTAAAAATAAATTTGATTTACAATCCGATGTTTAAAACCTTGGACTGGAGGCAAATTTGAAAAAAAAAAAAAAAAATGGGGAGCAAGGACCTCCGTATAAATACTGTATATTTTGGGATCATACTGTAATAAAGGTAAAAAACAATGGTACAGATGTAAATTTCCCTCAGCTAAACCTAAAATTTCATACGAATCTAATTTATAGAAAAAAAAAAAAATACAAGACCATCACGGGATACGGGTATCAGATATTTTAATCCCAACCGTTGGGCTTCCACATCTTGGAAAGCAAGGGGGAATACAAGGGAGTTTCTTATATAAAAAAAAACTAAAAGAAAAAGTCTATTTTAGTGTGAGGCCCTAAACAATTGAAGGCGCACCTCAAAAATTCATTAAAAGAGGTTCTTTCGATGCTAAAAAATCCTCAAATTAATCATCTCGATTTCATTATGTATGGACATGAAAAAACTTGATTTCAAGCATTGAAAAATGTTCATCTTATAATACATTTTCTGGTCCATCAAATTTCAAGATTTTCAAGTGTTCATAGATATATTCGATCTATGCTATTTTTGAAGCTTTAAATTTTATAATTAGAGATGAAAACAATTTTTTAGGCCATCACAAATATTTTCTGCATTGAAACAATATATTTCGACACTATTGAAAGGCTTTAATTGTTTAAGGACTCAGCCTTACACAAACCACAACCAAAACTAAATAATATACAAAATCATATAATATATATTTCTAGGCCTTGATCTGGGCCTTATCCGGACCCAGCTGAGTCGTCTTGACCTGGCCGACCTGGCCGGCTGGGTCGACCACGCCCATTTGCAAGCCTATTAGAAACAGAAGCTAGGAACTATACAATGCTAGTAAAATGCCCCATGTTCCAATCCAATCATAATACAAACCTCGTGCACAAAATATACAAAATATACTGATGCTAAGGTCCCTTGCCCACCCTTGGATTGGTGATCAAGAAGATCTCCATCGACCAACATGCAGAGCCGTTGATTAACGGTTTTTGCATATTGGTTGGATGGGATCCCCTTGATCGCTGATCTAAGGGTCGAAAGCGGCCTCACCACCATAACAAGCTCCGGAGGCTCACCACCTCAAGAACAACAAATTACAAAACAATTTTTTCTTTCATTTTTCTTTTTTCTTTGCATAGCATATAAGTATCTCATGTAACAAAACACAAAAATAAAAAAGATAATCAAGATAAAAATAACCGGGGGGAATCATGCAGTCGGAACGGTTATGTGACGCATCATGTGCTTGAACTCGTGAAAATCGACTTGTCCATCGTGGTTTTGATCGACATTGCAGATCATTTGGCGCACCTTGTCGATCTCGCCGCCCTCTGGAAGCCCGAGTTTCTTGAGAACAATTTGCAATTCTTTTGCAGATATGAATCCATCCCCATCCTCATCGAACACCTTAAAGGCCTCTTCCAAATCGGCACTGTCGCTCGGTTTTCCTCCATTTTCACCAAAATCTTCCCCATCTCCCGCGTAATTTTCATCCTCATGGCCGAGAAGCTCATCCCCGAGTGACTTGTGTAGAGCACAAAAGTCATCAAAGTCTAAGCCGGACATCTCAGGTTTTTTGAATCCTTCAACCGCGGATTCAAGGTCAGAGAATTGAGCTGGCAAACCCAGGCGATCAAGTGCTTGAGCCAATTCATCCACAGTGATCTCACCATCTCCGTTATTATCGAAAATATCAAAGATCCGTATGAGCCTCATTGTGTTGAGCTTCGGGGTCCTGAGCCTGAACGAGCTCAAGGGCCGGCTTGCTTCCCGACTCAGGCTTTTGATGGGGGTGGCCTTGGCCAATTCTTCCCTCATTATTTTGGCCGGAATTTGGGGTTTTTGGCCGGAAAATTTGAAGGTTTTTAGGTGCAGGGGGACGAAGGAGAACGAAGAAGGTGGATCTCCGAGACCGATATATATATATATATATATATATATATATGA